CAACTCAATGAAGCCCAGTATCTTTGCGGTAGAGCTCCCGCTTCTGGCAGTCTGTCGTGCTGATCATTCTTCCCAACCTTTTTCAGGAAAAGTCTGCCAAATTTTGTTTAGTTTGTACCTTTTGCTCCCTTAAAGCATTGACATTGAACCTGACAATAATTTTAATGAGATAGATTCTGAATTTACAGTAATCTCCACTCTTTCTCTGGTTCTGGTTGTACAATGGTTTAAAATCTGCAAATTAAAAATTTATATTAGAAATTATTTTACAGTAAGCACTGTGACCACGGGACAATAAGACTTCAATTAACTAAAGTTAATAAGTTATGCAAAGAAATGACTATTAATGGAGGTAGATATTTCTAGTTTCACTGTTTAATAAGACCCATTCTTCCACATGTGTTTTGCATACTTTGGGAGTAAAGTTTCAGTGAATAAATGTGAACTCTTCTTATCTTGCATGACCTCTTAATTAGTGGAATATAAATAATAGTAATGAAAATGTTTGATATTTATACTTTTCTGTCTTTCAACAGGTCCAGGCACTTTTGAGTCACTGACAGCAGGAGATCCTAATGCAGATTTGGTTTGTGCCTGTGGCGAACATTTTGCCACAGAGGAAGCAGTTGCGGCACATGCATATACCCATATTGAGGCAAAACTGTTCCAGTGTCCTGTATGCAACAAGAAATTTTCAACTCAAGGGGTTGCTGTGCGACACCTTAGAAGCCACACAGATGGCAAACCTTACATCTGTGACATATGCAAGAAGATTTTCAGACGTGAAGATTATTTTTTTAGACATATGCACAGACACTCTGGCGAAAAAGCAATTCAATGTGAGATCTGCTATAAGACCTTCACACAAAGAGAAAATTTAAGAGCACATATGCGAATCCACACTGGCGACAAACCCTTTCCATGTCAAGTCTGCAAAAAGAATTTCAGGCAAGAAACTAATTTATTTCAACATATGCGAACACACACTGGGGAGAAACCTTTTCAGTGCGATGTCTGCAATAAAACATTTGCACAAAGAGGAGCTTTAATAGAACACCTGCGAATTCACACAGGTGACAAACCTTTTCAGTGTGATGTCTGCAATAAGAGCTTCAGGCAAAGAGGATGCTTAAATGCACATTTACGTATTCACACAGGTGATAAACCTTACCAATGTGATGTGTGTGAAAAAAGGTTCACTCATTTTTCTAGTTTATATCATCACACGAGGACTCACACTGGGAAGAAATCCTAGAAAATTGACTGTTTGGAAGATGGGGTTTATGAATGGAACTGATTGAGAAGGCACCAGACTGCTAGTATATCTAATGAATTTATATACGGATGGTCAACATATACAGACTCTTGAAGTGAAAAACCTTAGAAATTCTTGAAAAGCATTTGTGATCAATATTTTTGATATAACACTATTTGAGATGGTATCTCATTCCATCCTAGTAAACTATGATCCAATCATGCATAGTAGTGGGAAGCTAAACTTGTGGAATAGTGGAATTATTACATGCTGACTCTAACTGCTTGCTGGAATATCCCTTTTGTTTGTTTGTTTTCTTAACTTCTACTTCTTAGTTCATTGATCCATTCCAGGAACTCAGAAATTTCTTTTCACCTTTCCCTTGGTTTTCCAGGTTCTCTTCTTCTCATAGGTCGTGTATCTCTTGGAACTATCATTCTGTCTTCCATAGGATTATGATTTACATAGGAGTTGATTCACAGGCAACAGAGTTCATGTGAGATATCTGCTCTCTGGATGACCATTAAAATGCAAGTGAAACATACAAAAAGATTGACACAATGTGTGTGCAATGGGATGATCTATGCATACTAGCACTGTTTAGAAACAATTGGGTAGCCTAATGCTAACTTGGGCATTTGCTTATCCAGAAATTTGTTTTGGATTCGTTAGTAATTTGTTCAATTGATTTTCTTTTATGCTTTCTGGCATGAAATGTGAGTGACAGTTTTTCTCATAGTTCCTTTTGAAAGATGTCTTGTGGCATTAAATAGGGAGATCTGAGTGGATACTCAACACTTTCTCATCAGAGTTGGTAAATAGCATGCACAGTAGCCTCCTGGGACATGTTAAGATACACATCACCTGTCATTGTGCCATAAAATGTATCCCTACATGTCACTGTTAACCCAGGAAGATCATCAGCCCATTCTTCCATAATATTAGTATTTTCCTTTGCGCAGTACACTCATTTGTGATGATTGATGATTCATTCAATTTAAAAGTCATCTCATCACACCACTCATTGCTTCCTATTTGTTTACAAAATTAAGAGGCATCAGCAAAAAAATCTTCTCACTTTTCTGGTTTCCAAATACCGTGGATACTTGATTTGAGGCACACAAGAAGTTTGCCGTGCAGACTGTTTTGGGAATCTTTTGAAAGTTCACACAAGTACATATCCTGTACAGCCTATGTGTCAGAAAAATTCATGATGAACAACGTATCCTTACGTTTTCTTAATGGAATGGTTTATTCTTTTCTGGTGTGTAGGCAACTTATAATAGAGTGCAAATTATTGGAAACCATTCTTTCGGATCTAAAACTGATTTACTATTTCGTTAACGTGTTTGGAATTATTGCTGATCTCACTTTAGCTTTAGTACATTTAACAACTCCACTACACATTAATATACACTTCCCCTACTACTTTATTCCACTTCCCTGTTGTTTTGTCAGTAGGACAACTTGTATCTATATTATTTCTTTCAAGCTCCACCAACACTTCATGCTTATTAGTGTCACATTCAAAAAACGTACAGATTGACACATAATCAACAAAGGCTATTATTTACATCCTTTTCTCATAATGGATGACTCTCTTTAGAATTCTAAAATTTCCTACTTTTAAATATATTATTCTTATTTTCAAACATGTCTTCCTACTCAGTATTTTTAATTTCTCCCTCTGCTTCTGGTGACACACTTGGTAATGAGAAAACTGCTTCCAACTTCAACCACCCATGATATTCATGAACTATCCCTTCACAGCTTACTATTGTCATAATTTCTTATCATAGATTTAATTACTTGAACTGCCCATTGTTGTGAAATAATGTATCTTTTTACATTGTAAGGTAATGTAATAACTGTTAAATTTAGGCGATTGGACACAATTTCTACACCATCTGTGCCTCCTATCTATATTATGTACTAATTTCCAATGCTGGAAAAAATTCAAAGAAAATAAGCAACCTCCGGCCATGTAAGAGAAGTCTATTTTCTTTGGAAACCCAGGAACTTCCAAGGGGGAATCCAAAAACAATGGAAGGTTTTGATGTTGATTGAAAAAGCAAATATTTTGTTTTATTCTGTCTAATCTAATACTCAGTGCTTACAATGTGTAACAGTAAGTCTCCAAGGAAGAGCCTGCCTGCCATTATATATTTGTCTCTTGCATTATAGAACAGCAATTTTTTTGATATTGTGAAGAGCACTTGTACTGCACATATGGGCCCTACTACGTTATAGTATTTGTGAAATCTGTTTTTGTTGAAATATTTAATTTATTGCAATGTTATACAAGAGTTTATTTTTTCTGATGCAGTGTACAATCTATGTTTTGGAAAGCCATTTTGTGGTGAAGTTTTGCCCTAGCTGTCATTTTAATATTAAAAAATAAATTGATTTTTTAAGTGCTCAGCTTGTTTGTTTTTCAATATTTTTATCAAAATGTTTTTGTCACTTGGAAACTGCAGATTTGTGAAAATAATGGTAAACCTGATGGGGATAGTTAAAATATTTCAATCTATCAAATTGAAGATACCCAGCTACATGTTGTGTATGACCTAAAAGTATTTAAAAAAAATTGCTGAAACTTTTGAACAGGAGAGGTGGCTCGTGGCATCACGGCAGTTCTCTTCATCCGGAAGGTTCTAGGTTCAAGTCTCGTTTTGCAAGTCCAGGGGCTGGCTGCACTGATTGGTAGTTTTCCATGGTTTCTCCGATCAACACAGCAAATGACTGAGCAGTACCCTAACAAACACACCACAGACCGCTCGTGATTTTTCCTATCTCTTCCTTGACCTTTCCTCACCCCTTACTTAGACACACTAACATGCACTACACTACCACACACGTTGGGAGCTTAGAGCGTGTCCCGACTGGGGCGGTGTCCTTCTGTTAGGAGATAACTGGTCGGAGAAAACCCTGCTAGTCAACAGTAGGTCGGCGCTGGATCTCACCATCCAGCGAGCAGGATCATCACCACTACGCCACCAGAGGACCGTGCTTTACTTAACCTAAATATCTATGCTATAAACTATCTTAAAGCCTACTACTTCCATATTATTAGGTGATGGGAGAAGCTATGAAGAAATGTATTTTAGGCACTAATAGGTTGCTGCTGGGAAGAGGGTGAGGCAATACCGCAAAGCTAGGCTTTACTACTCAAGAGATTAGAAAACTAAGTAGTATAAGAAAATCTGTGCCAATCTGCAGCACCACTGGTTTCCCTAAACCTCCTCCTTCCTTCCTTCCTTCCTTCCTTTCTTTCTGTTCTTTAAGACTGGATCTTAAACAGAAGCGTCTCATTGCCCTTAGTCTAGGACGCTGACAGTGAAGGAAAATGTTAACACCTCCATTACTCTTTTCACAAACATATTGAAAGTAAAACTGTGTTATATCAACAAAAAAACTAAATGATTTTAAATTATAATCTTGGAAGAATAATGGAAATATAGTTGCCAACTGGCAACAAAGATTGTAACAATACACATCTCAAAATATTTAAAAAACACATGCTCGACTTCTTTTCCAGTCTTTGGTTGTTTTAAAAATTAAATTTTGAAGTATTTTTAGGTAAAGACATGGTCGCCTATTATCAATTACTCATCTCTTTTTTTTTCAAATGAAAGTTAAGGAAAGCAATTATTTAAAAACTTTTGTACTACCTTTTCACTATCATCCGAATAACACCAATTTTTTGAGTATGACAATCGCCAAACACTAAAACCCGCAACTGAGAATGTTTCAATCACGGGCGCTTGCTCCGCAGCAGCAGGCCGTTGACTGGAAATCCAGCGCCTTTGCACGCTCTGTCGTTCAGCGGACGGACCACGTCGCCCGCATGTGCTGCCGCCACCTGATGCGTCCTGAAGGCGTTGGAGACGTTCGCCAAAGGCCTTTGTGCGCGCTGTCACTCTGCCCTCGATGCATGGACGAGCTGATGCCGATCGCATGGAAGACCAAGTAATTATTTAAAAAAAAGGATTTTTTAGCAATTTTATTGGGCCTTGACACACAACTTGTACATCCAAAGAAAACTCCATAGATCTTAAAAATAATATTTCTGAATTTTGGAAAATTGCTAATTTCTCTGGAAAGTTGAATTCAGCTGAATGGCGTTCTAGCTTTAAGAAAATGATGGCGCTGAGAAGAAAAAAAAGTTGCTAGTTCGAAAACTTTCTCGGGTTCTGGTCGTATTATAATATAGCGTTGCCGTTCCCAATAACGCTATCAATTATCGCTCTTTTTGCACTACTAAGGTCCAAAGTCGAAGATACTGTCTTTATGTACTGTAAATACGATACTATACAATATTATTGTTTAAATAATTACATAATTCGAATATAAATAAATATTAAATCAATTTTTCTGTATAAAAGAAGGTAAATGAAAACTAGGCCTTTGGGGGGGGGCAGGATGGCCCCCATGCCCCTTCCCCTCTGGTTCTGATAGTGGGGTGCGAATTCGTATGCTCTAAAGATCCTAAAAATATGATTTAACAAATAGGAAAACATGCGAATAAAATTAAAAATACGCACATAAAATATCATGTTTTATCTTACAGAAAATAGTTTGATTTAAATGTTGAATGATACTCACTGAATTTAATTTCTATTGCAAGAGACTATATATATTTTTCTAAATTTTCTGGAGTCAATCTTTTTCTGTTATTTGGAATAATGTTCTTACAGAAAAAGTTCTCTCAACTTCGTGTGAGTTTAGGAGACATTACTTAAAAGTTGCAATTTCTTTAACTGTGCAATTTTCAACACTGTGTTTTACCCTCTAAAACGCTACTCATATTTTTTACCGTTCTGAAATTGCTATCCTTTCTTCAATTTTTCTTCATTTTTTTCCGCCGATGAGAACTTTTCTCTCCAACCCCCATTTCTTTCATTGCCGCCGCTCTTGCTGTCGCGGCCTTCGTATGAGATTGTGATATCGACGTCGAAACAGTTCAACGCAAACGGGGGGGGGGGCGAAGAAGGCACGATATGATGATGATGAGGATAGGGGGTGAAAGGACGAACACAATTAACCATTCTCCCCTACTTAGCAGCCTTCAGTGAAGGATGGCAGTGCTTTGGACCCGCCATGATTCAATGACAAGGCAATAATGGTTTTGGTTACGCGACGTATTCAAAATCCCGCTAATGGTGTGACGCAAAGTAGTGCAAGAAGCACATTGGCTGAAGCTCGATAGGCTGCGCAACAATACACATGTCAACACCCCCCCCTTCCCAACTGGTCAACACGCACACACAACCGCAACACAGAACACATGGATATTGTACAAATGTAGGAAGTCCACATAGACATCGTGGATAAACGCAACTGAATATGAACGCATATTCGAATGTCTCGAAGGTATAACTTTAAAAACAGCATCTGCGAATTCTAGTTTCAAAAAATCATTTGCAGTAACGTTTTGGAATTATGAGCCGTAGAGAGAGTACGTTCCTTAAAAAAGGAGTTTGTTATCTAATGTGCCACATATTTCCATTTGACAATCGAATTCAATTTGTAAATGAATGACCGAATTGTTTATTTTTAACCAGTAACACAATCAACTAGCAGTATTCTTTATGATCCTTTTGTGCTGGGTTTTATAATCAATTTTTCTAGCTACTATTAGCAGTTATAATTTTTTTAGCTTCGTTTCTTAAGCTACAATTTAAGAAATAATACTGTCGTGATACTATTAAACCCTGGGAATTCAGACCACGTATTAATCAAATATTTTTTTATTATGTATGAAATTATGAGGAACACTATTTTAGTGATTTTTTTTGACATTGTGAGTAAGTCTTGTTATGGAGGATTCAGATAAAATTATGTGTGTGTAATGAAATTGTTAGTCTTTTTTTCTTTTTGGACTTCAGATTAAGGAAGAACCTGTTGACAACCTAGCGGAATATTCTTCAAATCCTGATGTGAGTCAATTGTTTTTTCTGGTATTGCTGTAAGTACAATAATTGAAGAACACAAAGTGTAAAAGAAGAAAGAGGTAGTTTTCAAACAATGATGTTGGATGTCATGTTAATCTGACATAATATTAGGTCAGCTCCAGCAATATTTAAATGGTTCCATTATTGGTTAAGGATGGCCACCTTACTTAAGCTTGGCAACTCTCGATGTGGATACTGTTGGTGGAAAAATACTCACACATATTTAGAGAGTCAGAAAATACAACATTAATTTTTTGATATCAAACTGAAGCTTATGTAATGTAAATCATTCAGGTTGGGGGACATGCAGGCGTTGATGCAAATGTGGAATTGCCCAAGGAAGAGAATCACCAGTGCCATGAAAGTATGTAGTAAGAGGAAATAAGACAAATAGGAGTAAATTTGTTGGTTTCCAGTGACAAAGTTGTTTAGGTGTATATATACATATACATACACCCATACAACAAATCTTTGACTTTTAATTAGAATATCTTTATTGAATTCAAAAGTAATATCACAAAGTGGCTAACTTGTTCTATAATTTTATTATTATCTTGCTTCATATAGGGTGTTTATCTTTAAACCCATTACTTTGGTTTTCTGAGTTGAGATTCTCAAGTTATTTCGGTCACATGAAATTTAGTTTATAGAGAGCCCTCTGTAACGGATGCTCACTTTCTTGGATAATTACTTGATCGTCTGTAAATATTGAAGTATTTAGAGTGGTTTCAGAGTTTACCTCAATGCCATCTGTAATACACTGTTTACATTCTCTCAGAATGTCATCTACATATATATTAAATAAACTTGGTGATAGGCTACAATTTTGTGTAACACCTCGATTAATTTTAAATTTCTTGGATAATTTTATATTTAAATTCAATTCATTTATAGTTCTGTGGTATAAGAATTTGATTACTTCAATTAAAAGTAGTGGAATTACGGTTAAATAGCCGCATTATATTTTAAATCCTGTTATAAGTATCTGGTCACTTATGTAGATATAACTGTATTTTGGTTTTCAACTATTTATCAATTAAAATAGCTATTCCACAACTGGTTCTTTCATTTTGTGGTTCCTCACTGTAAATTACAACATAATATTCTAGATCTTTTGTTCTTTTGCTCTTCATCTTTGTTTCTGATATTAAGGTTATATTAATTTGTTTTAAATTGAGTTCATTTTCAAGAATCTTTTCTTTATTTTTTTTTCCTCTGACATTCCATACTCATGTCTTAAGTTTTCATGTACTCTCAGTCGTTTGTCCTTTTTATTGCTATGGTCTTCAACATTGTGTTTAACCGGCTTGGCTTGTTGAAGAGTGTCAGTAACTTTAAATTCCCCATAACAGGTTACGAGCCTATTGATGGGTATGTCTAGTGATGGGGCTGCCATCATCATGCCTCTAGACATGCATCCTCATTTGTTGTCCTCAAATGGGAAAGGTGCCTCTTCAGCCAGTTATGTTGTTCCAGAGATCTCCTTGTTCACTATAGCTGCATTGTGGTGTTCACCACTATCCTGGCAAGGGCCCTCACAAGGCACTACCAGCTGGGCCAGCTGGTCCAAGGGTTTTTAAAGCGGTGTTACTCCTCTATCAGTTCCCTCTGTAGCCTAGCTTGTGACGGGCAGACCCTCGTTTCCAGAATTTTGGGCCAGTTTGGCAGAGTTAAGGTATATTGCTTTAAAATAATTTTGTTTCCTTGTGCAGAAGGAGTTGGAATATCCAACCTCTGTGTTTGTGAAGACTAAAAATGTATGTGAGATAGAAGAAGATTTTGAGGATGAACAAGAAAGATTGAATGAAGGGAGATTTCAAGGGAATGAAGCAAGTGAAGATGAAAAGGAGGTAAGACTGGAAGGGTAACTATATAAGCAAATTGATGATTATTCAGAGTTATTTACCAACATCTTAAGGTTGTGAAGAAAAATATAAAATAAATAATTTTTGTTTCAGTTATAGTGTTTCACTTGTGCTTAACTAATGATAAATAATACATAAAATCAAAATTTTGAGTTAAGCATTTGAAATAGTAAATTAAATAATACTGCTTTAAGAATACTTTTGTTTGTTTGCACAGGTGTTGGAATATCCAACCAATGTGATTGTGAAAATTGAAGAAGTGGGTAAGATAGAAGAAGATATTAAAGATGAAGAAGAAGGAAGTTGGAATGGAGAGGCATTTCAAGGGAAGAAAGCAACTGAAGATGAAAAGGAGGTAATAATGATAGGGTAACTACAGTAAAACTAGCTCAATGTAGAATGTGAACATAAATCGTGGTCCTGCCAAACACAAATTGAATAATATTAGTGTGCTAATGAGGAATCTTGTCAAATACTGAAAAAAAATACTGGTCCCATCAGGTTCTGCGTTGGTCAAGTTTTATTGAATATATTCAAATTGTTGATTTTTCAGAGTGATTTGCCAAATCATTAATGAATATAAAACAAATAATAATATAAAATAAATAATTTTAGTTTCAGTTTAATTGTTATTTCAGTTGTAATTAACAGACAATAAAAAGCCCATAAAATCAAGCTTAAAGGTCGGTGTTCATAAAAGTAAATTAAATGCTTTTGGTTTTGTAATAACATTGTTTCATTTTGCAGGGGAGTTTTGGATATCCAGCCACTGTGTTTGTGAAGACGGAAGCAGTGTGGGAGGAGGAAGAAGAAAGTTGGAAGGATATAGCAAGTCACGAAAAAAAGGTGCAAACAAATTTGTCGTGGTTATTTTTTCAAAAAGCAGCCTACATCAAAATCATTGTCTCGTGTAGTTTTTCTGTTCATGGCTGTGCTAGTTGTTTATGGTTTATTCCTGAAAGATACATCATAAAGGGTCTATTTTGTGAGATATGATATACCAAAATAATAGTTTCACTTTGACGCTATTTAATCTCCAAAGTTTAAGAACGTGAGGAATTTTATTAGTGATTTCAAATTAAGTTTACAACTATTTCTAAGATAAATTGATTAACTTACAAGATCAGAGTAGGTCCCAAAACGGATTTTA